TAATCCAGTTTATTAGACAATACTGTGTCCTGCAAAAACCTCACAATTTTACATTATCCTTAACATGCATTTTTACATCTGCTTATCAATTATCTTTTGGTGTTAAAAACTTAGAACGCTAGTAAATACCAAAAAGATAACTAAAATAAATGATTAGCACTAAGGAAGGCTGTTTGAACAAAAAGAAGCAGAGTTCACTGAACTGTAAAAGAAAGATAACATTGCCTTTATTTCTGCAAAGGCTAGGTCTTTCCTGGGTCTATGAAAAGAACCAGACCGAGAACCAGGGGACCTTGTCAGCCACTAATTAGCTGTGAGACCCGAGAAAGCCTTATGATCTCTCTCTGGGTTTCCATGCCTGAGAAAGGAGTAAGAGCAAGTTGGGCCACTCATGGGCCAAACTGTTCTATCACCAAGCAGCAAGTTCCACCAGGCCCCCTTCTCCGCACCAAGTTCTGGAGAAAGGAAACGGGTGTAAGATGCTGTTGCCCCTTATTCTGGGAGCACAGATGACGGCCCTGCCTCTGGATTTCCTCATGATTTCCCCACTGTCTTATGTCCCCTCTAGTGTTTGGAGGCAAAGGTAGTCTTCCCCACAACATGGCCTTCCAGCTCCAAAATTCTATGAATTCACATACTGCAAAATACCAACAGAACAATTTATAGCCCAGAGACCTTCATGATCAAGCTATTAATATGCCCTATTTGAAGAATAAAAGGATCCCAGATTCTGGGTCGAAGAGAAGACTAAATGCTACCTGATTAATTAAAGTGTCCATGCTGAAGGTCTGACATTTGGTGAGACAAATTTACAATGAGGGTCTTCTGACATGTGAGTTAACTGAGGCCTACTTTGGAAGGAGCCCAAGACTAAGCCTCAAACCCAGCTTGCTTAAAAACCTCAATCTACACCTTCAAAACAACCACATTGTGGCCAACTCAAATCTCTGGCAAAAGGCCTTCAATAATATCCCTTCTGCAGATTCAACCCACTAGGTTCAAAATATGGATTATCTTTAAATTAATTTCTGTACAATTTTAAATAGAGTTACCATGTAACCCAGCAATTTCACTCCTAGGTATATACCCATGAAAAATGAAAAAATATATCCACTAAAAAAACTGTATATGAACCTTCAGAGCAGCATCATTCATAATAACCGAAAGGTGGAAACAAGCGAAATGTCCATCAAATGATGAATGGATAAATAAGATGTGGTATATCTGTACAATGGAAGATTATCTGGGTAGGAAAAAGAAAGTAGTACTGACACATGGTACAACACAGATGAAAACATTATGCTAAATGAAAGAAGCCAGTCACAAAAGAACACATATTGTATGATTCTATTAATGTGAAATGTCCAGAATAGACAAATATATAGACAGAAAGTTGAACGGTGGTTACTTAAGGGAATAGTAGATTAGAGGTGATAGGTGAAGGGTACAGGGTTTCATTTTGAGGTCATGAAAATGTCCTAAAATTGACTGTGGTGATGGCTGTACAACTCTGTGACTATACTAAAAACCATCAAATTGTACTATTTATTTTATTTATTTATTTATTTATTTTTTAAAGATGACCGGTAAGGGGATCGTAACCCTTGGCTTGGTGTTGTCAGCACCACGCTCAGCCGGTGAGTGAACCGGCCATCCCTATATAGGATCCGAACCTGTAGCCTTGGTGTTATCAGCACCACACTCTCCCAAGTGAGCCACGGGCCAGCCCTGAATTGTACATTTTAAATGGGGATTATATGATATGTAAATCATACCTCAAGAGCATTAAAATAAGGTGAACTGGCTGAAATATTAAGAAAAAACAGGTTCACAGCTGATTCTTTCTGAGTCAGTGTCCAGGTTCTGAGCACTACCCGATAAAATACAAATGACTGCTCTTCAAGCACAGGCCCAAGCCCACACTTAACAGTGTTCTGACAAAGCAGTGGTACATGTTTAGGGGCAAACAGGATAACTGCCTTCAAATCACTTATAGTTTTAAAAAAAAGTTTAATGTCAGATAGAAGTACAAAGACATATACTACAAGTACGTCATTATAATACATACTGTAGTACACATCTCTGCTCTTCTGACAATATGTAGTATAGAATACAATATACGAGTATAATATAATTCAGATGATAATCCCAAAAGATGACCACAAGAACTGGTCAGATGATATCCATGGAAACTCAGAAGAGATTCATTTCTACTGCAGAGGGAAAAAAAAAAATTCCCTCTAAACAAAAACTAAAATTATTTTTAGCTAAACAAAACAGTAACTCCCCCAACCATTTAATCATACGGGACATAAGCAAAACAAAGGGGCCAGGGTGTCTTATGACAATGTTAAATTTCTCCATTTTAATTAAAATATGGGCTTGATATGCTGGATTTGAGGCTTATTTCTAACACGGGGGTTTGCAAGGCACATACTCCACTGTGGAAATGCTCTTCTTTACTGCCAGGGTCTGAAATAAGCCTAGAAATTCACTAGATCATTAACTTGGTAGACAGAATGTATGCCTTGGACCTCATTTTAAAGGGGTTTAGTCCATGGGTCCCTCTCTCGTAGGGACTACAGAACAGGATGCCCCACTCTCTCTGATGTTAGCCCACTATCTCCACCTTGTGGCCATAGCTAAACCCTCACGGTCACAGCCCCAGTCCCTAAGTCTCCTTAGGAGCCTGGGAACAAATACAAAAGAAGTTGTTTAAAATATTGAAAACCATCATCATGAAGGCCAAGGCCAAGCAAAGTTCTCAAAACAACAACCATTGTAAGAATTTCACTTGGTCATTTGATGGATTCTTGATTAACAAGTGCCAACAACAAAAAATTGCTGTGTCAGTGACTTAAACAAGGATCTTCAGAGATTTAATTTGAACAGAACTGGAGCTATTGCCTCTCCTAGGAAGCAAACGGTTGAACTTCAGAACAAAATGTAAAATTTTCGGGGGGGGGGGGGCCTTCTAAATTTAGACATTCCATTTAAATTTGGAAAATGAATGGTAAGAAGAGATTAATCTGAATATGTATAAAATGGTCAATGCTTGAAAACTGATTTTTTTTTTTTTTTTAATATGGAAGGAATGAAGAGATTTTTTTTAGGGCCACAGTTTTAGAAAACCCAGTAACATTCCCCCACTTGATATAGCTGGATACAAGAACAACACAAAAAACAAAAAGTCAATCAGTATTAGTTTAAAACAAACCCCACCATCCCTTCAAATCCCACATTCCCATCACTGTTTCATTCTCAGATAAAACACTGAAACTAGAGCAGTCCTGAGAGTGACTGATGAACCAGTCAGCATGCACTAAGATGCATAAACTTGAGTGAATCAGACAACTTTGCATGAAAGGCTTAACCAAATCATCATAATGGCAATCAGGGTCTAAAACATGGAGGGCTGTAAGATCTTAATCAATCTAGTGACTCTTACAAGGAAACCCAGACAGCAGCAGCGCACTATGGTCAGCCTCTTAGGGAAAATAAAATTTCAGGACACTGGGAGAAGGCATCGGGGAGCATCGAGGCTAGGATAACAGGTACGTTAGTCTGACACCCCAACCTGGACAGAGTGATAATGGCTACACACAATTCTGTGTGATAAAGGACTAGAAAGACCAGCCTGGACTCCCAAGGCAAATACTGTCATCAATACCAACATCTGCCAAGGACAAGGGACAAAGGGATTGTGTACTATTATTGTCCGCCTTTTGTACTTTCTTAAGTTTGCCATTCCTGATTTTAGTCTGTCCTGCTCTGTTTACAAATGGAAAACTTGGGCCCAGAGAATTAACGTCACATGCATTCAGACAGACAGGCACGAAGTTAATTCAAGGTTATACTAGTCAGGGGCTGATCCGGGATGAGCAGATATGTAGACATCAGCAAGTTTAGCTGGGAGAAGATGAGATTCATATAAGATTGCTAATAATTCAAAGAAGAAAAATACTGTTTGTTCTGAAGAACCCTTGAAAGAAAAGTTTTAGTTCCCCAGCAACTGTCTCAGGAACTTTCACAGAAATGATCCTGTGGTTAAAAACATACTCTTCCCCCTTTGCTTTGCAAAAAGGAACCTTACATTTCCTGCTATAAATCAGTTCACAAAGCCTATCTCCTGAAACTGTATTAACTGTGGTTAAAAAAAAGACAGAGAAAATACGTGAAAGTGATCAGGGGCTATGTAAATCTGTCAACGCTTACTTCAGAAATGAAGTCTCACTGTGGGGAGAAAAAGCTGACAAGTATTTTTCACATATTCCTCACGGCATCTTAAAGCTTGAAAGAACAAATTGATAATACAAGAAAACAACCTACAGGGAGAGCTACTGACACTTACCTGCTCTAACGTAAGTTGCTTAGAAATGGTATCATTCTCCAGTTTTTTAATTTTCTTCATCAGTTTGTTGACCTGAAATTCCTGCTCCTGTTCCAGATGTTGTTCTAGTTCAGCTTTCTCATGCTGCAACTGGAAAATGAAAAAACAAAACAAAACAAAAAAAAACCCGAGATGTGCAAATCAAGAAACTCAAAAGCCATAGACATGGAAAGACAGGTCCCAAAAGCTGATTACTCTGAGTAAGAGGCATCACCACAGAAGTTACATTACTCATTTCTGCTCCTATACGCCAGTGAATACCTAGTAACCTGCTCTTAACTGGTTGCTCTAACTTATAACCAAAAATCATAGGACAAATACGTATGAGTATCAAACCATAATTAAACACAGAGTTCAATTTTAAAAGACTTAAGTGGTCACCATTGTAAGTAGAAATCAGGAGTCTGGGGTATGAGGTAGGGAAAGAAACTTACATTTCAACATATACCCTTACTGTCTAAGTTTTATTAATTTTTATGCCCATGGGATAAATTTTAAAAAATAGAAATTTCACACCATCAGTTTTTATTAAGTGTATTGCAATTTACTGATATTTGCATCATGTGTGTAGAGAGAGAAGGGATGTCATAATCACAAAACACACTTGGTATATTATTCAGAATACTGTTTCCCAATTTATGAGCAAGCATGCTTTGGCAAAAATCAGTAAAATTAATTATCTTTCCACAATCAGATCATATATCACATTCCTACATCTTCCCTAAAAACCAAGAGGGAAAGCTTCTTACTTATGCAATTAAAAGATAAGGCTGTGGTGTCATTACAAGAGAAAATTATTTTAAAACATTACTACAACCTTCAAAACCAAAAAGGAAATAAAAGAAATCCAGCGTACACACAACCACCCAGGGTTCTCATGAATAAAAATACATTATTTCTAACACTATCAGTTGGTGGGTTTTGTTCATCAATGGCAGGGGTCGGTCGGCCCAATGTTTCAGAACCAAGGACAGAAATAAGGAAAAGCTATTAAAAACAACAAAGCACACAATGTTTTCTTTTTTGGCCTAAGATGACACTGCTCCCTAATTTTACCTTCAAAACCATTTCTTTGAATAGATAATGTACACCAGGTTCTTCACGTGCATTCGGACAGGCCCAACCACTTCCATTTCACAGGTGACAAAACAGGTTACTGGGCTGTAGAAACAGAGCTACAAAGTGACAGAGCTTGGGACTTGTATCCCCTGAACCCCAAACCAGTGTTCTCCCATTGTGTGTACTACTGAGCAAAGCTATGAGAGGGCGCCCCAGACTCCTCCACTCACTAGTGCCCAGCACACCTTTGGTGTTTGGAAAGTCAGATGGTTAAACACAGTGAAAAATAAGCTGGGCATACTTTGTAAACCTCCATAGAGTGCAGTGGACAACAGAGAAAGCTCAGCAGGGCCTGACCAATCTCGAAATGGCTATAACCCCTCTTCACATCTCCAGATTTGCTAGTTTCCACTGCTCTGAAAGAACATACTTAGTTAAAAAATAAATAAATAGGGCCGGCCCGGTGGCGCACTGCTACAGTGTGCCGCTTGGGGGCGCGGCAGCGCTCCCGCCGAGGGTTCGGATCCCACATACAGACCGGCCGCTCACTGGCTGAGCGAGGTGCGGGTGTGACACCGAGGGTTGCGATCCCGTTGCCGGTCCCGGTCCAGTACGGGCGCGACACTGAGGGTTGCGATCCGTTGCCGGTCATGAAAAAAGACGAAAAAATAAAAAATAAAAATAAATAAAAAATAAATAAATAAAATCTGATTGTCTTCCAACACTGGAATTTTTTTTTTTAAATGAATCTTTATTTTAAAATTTAACATTATACGATGTAATCATTTTTCATGTCCCTTTATCAATTCCTCTTTTACCTCCCCCCACCCCCTCCCACCTCTGGTAACTTCAGTTCTGTTCTCTCCTTTTGAAAGTTCAAAGTAATATTGTGATTGCTGTGTGTCTCTCTCTCTTTTTTTTTTTTATCTTGTTTATTTTTTAGCTCCCACTTATGATGAGCAGATGCAGTATTTCTCTTTCTGTGCCTGGCTTATTTCATTTAACATGCTTTTCTCTAAGTTCATCCACGTTGCTGCAAATGGCAGTATTTCATTCTTTCTTACAGCAGAGTAGTATTCCATTGTGTAGATATACCACATATTCCTTATCCAGTCATCCTACGACAGACATTTAGGTTGGTTCCAACTCTTGGTGATTGTAAATAGAGCTCCAATAAACATGGGAGTGCAGGTAGCACTTTGACATGATGATTTACATTCCTTCGGGTATATACCCAGCTGTGCAATTGCTGGATCATATGGCAGTTCTATCTAGTTATTTAAGGAACCTCCATACCATTTTCTATAATGGCTGCACCAAATTACAGTCCCACCAACAATGTAGGAGGGTTCCCCTTTCTCCACATCCTCACCAACATCTGTTATTGTCTTTTTGATAATAGCCAGTCTTACTGTTTGTGGATTGGTTTCCGTGTTCTCTATTCTATTCCATTAGTCTGAGTGCCTGTTTTTATGGCAGGATCATGCTGTTTTGGTTACTATAGTTTTGTAGTATAACTTGAAGTCAGGTAGCATTATGCCTCTGGCTTTTTTTTTTTTTTTTAGCTCAGGATTGCTTTTGCTATTCAGGGTCTTTTGTTGTTCCATAGGAAAGTTAGGATTTTTTTTTTTTCTATTTCTGTGGAAAATGTCATTGGTATTTATTTTGATGGGGATTGCATTGAATCTGTAGGTGACTTTGGGTGGTATAGACATTTTCACAATGTTAATTCTTCCAATACAACAGCATGGAATGTCTTTCCACCTTTTTGTGTCCTCTTTAATTTATCTCAACAGTGATTTGTAGTTCTCATTGTAGAGATCTTTCACCTCCTTGGTTAAATTTATTCCTAGGTATTTTCTAGGACTACTGTAAATGGGCTAGCTTTCTTATTTTTCGGCTAGCTCATTACTGGAGTATAAAAACGCTACTGATTGTGCACAACACTGGAAATGATGACTAAACAGGTGCTGTTTTCCCTCCAAATATTTTTGATGTGCAACTCCAAAAAATGCTGTTCAACCTTGCAGGGACCCGGGGGGGGGGGGGGGGGGGGGGGGGGGGAGATGTGAGGACATGCTTACAGTGACAAATCTATTTTTAGCTAGCTCTTAAAACTCAGGTTCTGCAAGACCAAGTGGTAATTAAAAGAAGAATGGACAAAGAACAAGAAGAGTTCCTTGAATTTCAGACACAAAAGACACGAATGGAACAAATATCACTTACAAGGAAAAAAACCCATCAGAATACATACATCTTCATCTAACACTTCTATTCAATAAACATTTGCTGTGTCTTCTATCTGCAGGTACTGTGCTAGTGGTAGGTGAAATCTATAGTTAAGATATTATCCTTTCTCTAAAATAGTTTATGAATACTAAGCTTAAACAATATCTACTAGTTTTAAAGAAATGATGAACTTGAGTCTTAAAATCTTTAAACCATTTATGTAAAGATTATTTTATATAGTAATTGTGTTTTCATTTTTATTTGGAAAAACCCATCTATTTATTTTTGTGGCATTATGCTTCTGCACTGAGGTAAATTAAAACAAGAAATGATGTACTCTACATTGAAATATCCCTTGCTACCAAGCAGCATTTGTCACTAAATGTTTATCTGAGAAAAGGTAAGGCTTTCATCAGCTCACAGAAGAATATTCATATTTAGATAGGTGGCCTAAATGTCAATATCTGATTAGGAATTTCCTTTAAGACTACAGATTGAACTAGTAATAAAGGCTATAAAAGCTCTCTATTTTAGGAGGCTTTTTCCTCTCAAGAGCTATACCCTAAGGACAATTTGATGGTAAAGCTATCATTACCAGAACTCAAGTAAGGTCTTTGGGTTACTCTAGCCCATTTGGAAAATATCAAGCCATCCTGAGATGTAACTGCTGAAGATTCACAGTTTTCATCATTTCCAAAAGAGAGAGCTGAAACAAACAGCTCTGCTGATGGCTTTGTTCTGCCACCTCTCAGGTGACACACAATTTAGAACAGGGTATGGAGTTTCTGTACAGAACACTAGAAACAGAAAATGCAGTTCTTCCTTGGAACAGAAAAACTACCAATAAAAAGAGAAACACAGAAATACAGAAATACCCCCGACCCCCCAAAATCATGAGAAGAGGGTTAAGATGAACAACGGGGGAGGGGGCTGCAGCAGTGCCTGGGACCTTAAGGAACCACAAAATTTGCCTCCTACAGTTTGGTGAGAAAAACTCAGAAAATGTCTGTTTTAAACAGATGCCATATAAATTCAAGCAACCTGGCCCCAACAGTGCTCCAACCAACACCATAAATCAACCTGCCTATTTTAAAGCTATCTCATGACATCACAAACATAAAAACCCTAAAGGGGAAGTCTGGTGCAGGATGGCCTAAGGCTTGCTGTTAGAAATAAACTCCAGTTTCATCTCTTATGCCCACCTTCAACATGGGCAAAGAATTCGAGGCATGATTTAAAATTTGTGGGTCTTAACATATCACTCTATAAGCAATTTTTTTTTTCTTTTTGTCTTTTTTACTGACCGGTAACGGGATCGCAACCCTCGGTGTTGTGCCCGTACCGGGGACTGGCAACGGGATCGCAACCCTCGGTGTTGTGCCCGTACCGGGGACTGGCAACGGGATCGCAACCCTCGGTGTTGTGCCCGTACCGGGGACTGGCAACGGGATCGCAACCCTCGGTGTTGTGCCCGTACCGGGGACTGGCAACGGGATCGCAACCCTCGGTGTTGTGCCCGTACCGGGGACTGGCAACGGGATCGCAACCCTCGGTGTTGTGCCCGTACCGGGGACTGGCAACGGGATCGCAACCCTCGGTGTTGCGCCCGCACCACGCTCAGCCAGTGAGCAGGAACTGGTCTCCACATGGGATCCGAACCCACGGCGGGAGCGCCACCGCGATCCCAAGCGGCGCACCCTCCAGTGTGCCACCAGGCCAGCCCTATAAAGCAATTTCAAATCTTCCAATAAGGTCAGAGCTCCTGAACCAGAACAAAAACAATTCAAACTAAGAAGTAAATA